AATGAAGTGAACGTGAGCCTGGCGCTCCCGGGAGCTCACTAAGACGGTGCGGAGTGGTGGCGCCAGAGCAGAGGGCGCTGGGACGCCAAGGTTGCCCTGATGGGGGGAGGCGCACACGCTCGGTTCTTGAGAATTGTTCGAGCTTCCGATGGATAGAAGATAAGAGCTTCCGATGGATAGAAGATAAAGATAATCGACTTCATGAAATTGAACGCTTCATTACGCGACGCAAATCTCGACGGAATAGCATTAAATAACTTCCGTAATACCAGCCTGACCTTCGGCAGAACGACTGAAAATACTAAAACACCTAAAGTGTTATAACCAAATCTTAAAGGGTCTCGTACTATGTCGACTCACGACTATTCACAATAGCAGGAAGGGACTATTTGCGTGATGCAACTGCGTCGAGCTGGCTTTCACGCCCTCCATACACGGGGACATTCGTCCTCATCTTCCAGGGCTGACAGACGAAGCGCACATTTTCCAGCTGTGGACGTGGAATCCACCAGCAGACCCAATAGACTGCATGAGAGAAGGCGACGTATTACACCTTCCATCACAAGAACGTCGATAAACTGACTTTAGTTACGAACACAGTACATGCAATAAAAGAATCTATCTGTGCTTTAAGAAGCAGCACGCAATTGGTGAATCTCTTGTTAAATTGCATTCAGGGGGCAGAATGGAGACCTAACCCCACTATAGTGAATCATAAAGCATGCATTATAATGACACTTAAAATCAGATCAAATCGCTCGTAAACAATGTTCACTGGAATTTTATCAAGGATCAGAAACGCGACCGACTCGTGCCCGAGATCAGAGCCCGAAGGACCCCTGCTGCCGGGCCGAAGTCCTCTCGCTATAAAGACCGAGAACGGGTCCTTGGCAGCGTCTGAGAAATATGTAAGAGCTAAAAAGGATTATCAAAGCGTAACACTGAATGCTAGTTATATCATATACAAACAAACAAACACCAAACACGAGCATCCTTAATCTCTTCATATATAATTTTTTTATTCAAACAAATACTGGTCCAACGGTCCAGCAGATAGTGATCGAAAAACAAAATTTGATTTCAGGATGAGTGACAGGACGGGCAACATTCATCCTTCTCAGTCACTGTATCTTCACATCATGTACACCTCTGTATGCATCTTGCATACAAACAATATATATCTATCAAGGATACATATCCCGGGATGAAAATGCAGCATGCACCGTGCAATACTATATTACCATGCAGATACATCCTGTCCATCCTCCACATCCTGGATGACCAGCAGGACATGAGCAAGGCCTTGCCGCATGGCCCTCAGACCCCCTGGCAAGCAGTGTAACGTGCTGAATCACCAACTGGTCTAGTATATTGGCGCGTTACCATATTTATGGCCCCAACTCACCGCCATGGCTCATTCTGCTGCCTCGCTCTTTACATGCCTATCTCAGAGTCACAAAATTCTCAAAATCGGCTGATTTAAATCTGTCGGAATATGTCCATTGTCCTGTGCCGCCAGCGATTAGCATAAGCACAGTGTTACAAGGAATCCTGTTAAGATACTCAGCAGATTCCTCCTTTCCTCCATCTGACACACATCCCATCTGAAAGTTTTAATGCGTGTGTATATAGATAAGTATGCGTGGATATGTGTGGTTTGTAAATGTGTAAGTTTATAGTATATATATATATATATATATATATATATATATATATATATATATATATATATATATATATATATATATATATACAAATATACAAATATATAAATATATAAAATATATATATATATATATATATATTATTATATATACAAATATATATATACAAATATATATATATACAAATATATATATATATATATTATATATTATATATATATATATTATATATATATATATTACAAATATATATACAAATATACAAATATATAAATATATAAATATATAAATATATATTATATATATATATATATATATATATATATATATATATATATATATATATATATATATATATATATTTGGGGGGGGGAGATGGTAGGGGTAGGTTAGTGAATTAAAAGTAGATAAGTAGTGGGTAGGTGGGTAAAAGAGTAGAGGGGTAAGCGGGTGGGTGAGTTTTCCGAGTTAGTGGATTGATTGGTTGGCGGGTGGGGGTATTTAGGTAAGTAGCCAGGTAGGTAAGAAGAAGAAGAAGAAGAAGAAGAAGAAGAAGAAGAAGAAGAAGAAGAAGAAGAAGAAGAAGAAGAAGAAGAAGAAGAAGAAGAAGAAGAAGAAGAAGAAGAAGAAGAAGAAGAAGAAGAAGAAGAAGAAGAAGAAGAAGAAGAAGAAGAAAGAGAAGATGATTGATAGATAGATTGACAGGTAGGTCGGTAGGTCGGTCGGTAGGTAGTAAAGTTGGTAGGGAGGTAAGTAGTTGTAGTTTGGAAAGTAGAAAGGTAGGAAGGAAGGAAGGAAGACAGGTGATCAGTTAAGTGGGTTGGTAAATAATCAGG